CGATTCGCGTCGAATCCGAATATTTGCCTACTTCGGGTGCGCGAATCGGATTTTTCCCGATCAGCCGGCAAAAGTGTCCCTGCAGAGAGCTCCGCTATTTCTGACAGTTCTCTGACAGAAGGAACACATGTACAGCGGTTGAAACATTGTATCTATTTGTTTCCATTTAGGATACAGATGTTTTTATTCGGAAACAGATGTTTCAACCGCTGTACATGTGAAGGAGCTGTCAGAGAACTGTCAGAAATAGAGGAACTCTGCAGATACACTTTTTGCCGGTTTGGAATTCTTATTTTCATCCTACTTCTTCTTCTTCTTCTTCATCCTCATCCTCATCCTCAGAAGAAGAAGAAGAGGATGAGGATGAAGAAGAAGAAGAAGAAGAAGTAGGATGAAAATAAGAATAATTCCAAGCCGGCAAAAAGTGTATCTGCAGAGCTCCGCTAAGTGTATCTGCAGAGCTCCGCTATTTCTGACAGTTCTGTGACATTCACTCCATACAGCGGTTGAAACATTGTATCTATTTGTTTCCATAAATGGATCCATTTATGGAAACAAATAGATACAATGTTTCAACCGCTGTATGGAGTGAATGTCACATAACTGTCAGAAATAGGCTAAGAAATAGCGGAGCTCTGCAGATACACTTTTTGCCGGCTTGGAATTCTCCTTCTTCTCATCTTCTTCTTCTTCTCATCCTTCTTCTTCTTCTCATCCTTCTTCTTCTTCTCATCCTTCTCCTTCTTCTCATCCTTCTCCTTCTTCTCATCCTTCTTCTTCTTCTCATCCTTCTCCTTCTTCTCATCCTTCTTCTTCTCATCCTTCTCCTTCTTCTCATCCTTCTTCTCATCCTTCTCCTTCTTCTCATCCTTCTTCTCATCCTTCTCCTTCTTCTCATCCTTCTTCTCATCCTTCTCCTTCTTCTCATCCTTCTCCTTCTTCTCATCCTTCTCCTTCTCCTTCTTCTCATCCTTCTCCTTCTTCTCATCCTTCTCCTTCTTCTCATCCTTCTCCTTCTCCTTCTTCTCATCCTTCTCCTTCTCCTTCTTCTCATCCTTCTCCTTCTCCTTCTTCTCATCCTTCTCCTTCTCCTTCTTCTCATCCTTCTCCTTCTCCATCTTCTCATCCTTCTCCTTCTTCTCATCCTTCTCCTTCTCCTTCTCCTTCTTCTCATCCTTCTCCTTCTTCTCATCCTTCTCCTTCTCCTTCTTCTCATCCTTCTCCTTCTTCTCATCCTTCTCCTTCTCCTTCTCCTTCTCCTTCCTCATCTCCAAGGGCATTTAAATTAAAGGTACAGTGTTCTGCACTAATTTAAAGGCTCTCTGAAGCCTAGAAACCCTTTTTATAAGTTAACTTCGTAGCGAATAAATTCGCATCGAATCGAATTTCTTCCTGAAATTCGGCAAATCAGCCGAATCGAATTTTTGAATAATTCGCTCATCTCTAGTTCCTACATTTGCATAAGGGATGGAGACTATCGCTGCACAGACCAGTGTGGCTCCTTCCAGTTCCGGTGCGGGCTCATGGAGGTGCGAAAGAACAAAAACCCGTAAGTGAACAAAAAACGTGCAAGTGCAAAAAACACAAACACGAAAGAGTGCACTTAGGGGTGTGCTTTAGTTCACCTCCAGAAGGGGTAGGACCTCTATTGTGATCCCCCGAGGCGCAAGGCTCCTGACAGGGACAAAGGTTTCCACGTGATTCTCCTAGCCAAAAGGCCTGGCGGACCCTTTTCCTTGTGGCTAGCCGAAGCCGACCACCAAGTAGTCAGGGAGCTCTGCCAAAAAGAGACACCCCCTGGCAGGGACAAAGGGTTTCCAACATGGTCCACCTAGCCAAAAAGCCTGGCGGACCCCTTTTCTTGTGGCTAGCCGAAACCGACCACCAAGTACTAGGTCAGGGAGCACTCCGAAAGAGAGACACCCCCTGGCAGGGGCAAAGGGTTTCCAACATGGTCCTCCTAGCCAAAAGGCCTGGTGGACCCCTTTCCTTGTTACTGGCCAAAGCCGACTACCAAGTACTTGGTCAGGGAGCTCTCCCGAAAAGAGACACCCCTTGGCAGGGACAAAGGGTTTCCAACATGGTCCACCTAGCCAAAAGGCCTGGCGGACCCCTTTCCTTGTGGCTCCTTTCCTTTTGGCTAGCCGAAGCCAACCTTAAACTTAACACCTACACAAAAACAAAAATGCAAACATGAATACTTGGCTTACCCCAACGTACCGAATGAAACATCAGCTCAATAATGGGTTTGCTGAAAGATAACCAAACAGTACTAAAACCCCGGCACTGCCCCAACCGAGGGTGCTGAACACCAAAGGCATGGCAAGAGGAACCCCGGCACTGCCCCAACCGAGGGTGCTGAACACCAAAGGTATGGCAAGAGGAACCCCGGCACTGCCCCAATCGAGGGCGCTGAACACCAAAGGCATGGCAAGAGGAACCCCGGCACTGCCCCAACCGAGGGTGCTGAACACCAAAGGTATGGCAAGAGGAACCCCGGCACTGCCCCAATCGAGGGTGCTGAACACCAAAGGCATGGCAAGAGGAACCCCGGCACTGCCCCAACCGAGGGTGCTGAAACCAAAGGCATGGCAAGAGGAACCCCGACACTGCCCCAACCGAGGGTGCTGAACACCAAAGGTATGGCAAGAGGAACCCCGACACTGCCCCAACCGAGGGTGCTGAACACCAAAGGTATGGCAAGAGGAACCCCGGCACTGCCCCAATCGAGGGTGCTGAACACCAAAGGCATGGCAAGAGGAACCCCGGCACTGCCCCAACCGAGGGTGCTGAACACCAAAGGCATGGCAAGAGGAACCCCGGCACTGCCCCAACCGAGGGTGCTGAACACCAAAGGCATGGCAAGAGGAACCCCGGCACTGCCCCAACCGAGGGTGCTGAACACCAAAGGCATGGCAAGAGGAACCCCGGCACTGCCCCAACCGAGGGTGCTGAACACCAAAGGCATGGCAAGAGGAACCCCGACACTGCCCCAACCGAGGGTGCTGAACACCAAAGGCATGGCAAGAGGAACCCCGACACTGCCCCAACCGAGGGTGCTGAACACCAAAGGTATGGCAAGCAAGAGGAACCCCATTATTGTCTATGGGGCCAATTCACACCTATGCAACACAGTTCTGTACAACTTGGAAGAAGGTGCAGATGCTTCTTTTGGTGAATTTTTGGCCCCATAGATGTAAGTTGAAGCGCATGGAAAAAGCATAAAACGCAGAGGCACAAGCGGGAACCTAGACTTATAAGAACAGGCTTCTGTGAAATGCCCATTTTTATGCTCAGTATAGATGAAAGAGCTTCACTGAGAAATCACATGGTCCCTACATTGCCAAAAATTGAGGAATTTGTATAAAAAAAAGTGCTTCTCTATCATTCTATCAGTGTCAGTGTTACTGCTGTACAACACTGACCATATACAGGCAAAGAGGAATCATGAATCTATAACCTATGCCGGTGAAAACAGGGAGTCAATATGGCAGCCAGGCCACTGGAATGTTCAGAAGGTGGTCACCAATGGAAGTGATAGGCTTTGTCCCAGCATAGGGTTCCTTTAAAGCCCGGCTTCCTTCCACAACTTATTTTTGGTTTTGGTTAGAGTTGGGAAGGGTTATGATCTCGCTCAGGATTTCTGTCAGGGTTCTGTCCACGGCAGAAGTTCTGGAAGATCTGGCATTTCTGCCAGTACTCTGCATGGCCGCAGAAGTACACATCAGCCTCAGTTTGGTGCCAGACGGCCTTTATAAGGAGGCTCTTCACTTCCTCAAGTTGCTGGATGATCTCTAGCTCCCCGTGCCCTGTTCCTGGTTCCTGTGATTACCTGTTACCGACTCGGCTTGCTCCTGGACCTGTCTACTCTGCTTTACCCCTGATCTGACCTCGGCTTGGCTTACGGATACTCTCTCTCTCGCTCCTCTGTGTATGACCTCGGCTATCCCTTCTGACTACATCTGCTCTGATTCCCACCTGGTACCTGACCTTGGCCTGAACCGACTACCCAGTAAACATCTAAATCCCAAAAGGGCTTGCATACCACGCACAGGCGCCTCCTGTCTGCAGACCTATCTCCGTGCACCAGCTGTGCTTCTAAGTGGACCACCAACCAGCACTCCTACAGGCGACCTGTGCAACTTTGGGCCTGACTCCCGCTGTCCCACTCTCAGGGGAGTCCAGAACTTAGCCGCAAGGGAAGCCCTCTCTCCATTGGCCTCCATCACCAGGTAGGTGATAATTTCACTGCCGTCCTTAACTCTGTTGGGGAGATTTTATCTCATTTCCTGTCCTGGTGGCCAATCAGGAAGTGATCTCCTGAACTGGGGAACATACAGCCTGATAGATGTTCTCCTCCTTACCCACAACAGACGATCACTTCCCGAAGACGATCTTTGATCGAAAAGCGTCGATGTTTGATGACGCAACCTCCGCTGACGTCACTTCCGGTGTATGGAACGCACGCCGCTCCGAGGAACGCTAAGTACAGTGGCTTCCATACACACAAACAAGGCTGAGTACACCTGGTGCCGGGCAAAGGCACTACATTTATGAGTGGGTTTCTATATACATATTCTACACAATAAAGTATATTACGGTTTTATGCCGGTCATACATGGGTCGAATTTCGATCGATTTGCCGTTCTAAGAATAATCAACCGATTTTCGCTCTGCTAGTGGGTCAATGGCACTGGCCGATTTTCGTGGATCCTCCCCTTTTCGGTGATTGGGCATGTTGGAAAATTCATGAAAAACGACCAATTTTCGACTCCATGCTTAAATCGTACGATCGTTTTTCCAAAACGAATATTTACTAACAGATATATCAGACTGGATGTCACTCCACTTCCTAAAACTCAATCTATCCAAAACTGAGCTCATAATATTACCTCCCCCACGTGCCTCTTCCCATGATTTATCAGTCAGGATCAATAGCACCATCATCAACCCGTCCCCCGCATGCCAGGGTGCGAGGGGTAACCCCGAATTCTGAACTATCCTTCCAGGCCCATCCAATCCCTGTCCAAATCATGCCGCCTCAACCTCCGCAACATCTCCAGAATACCCCCTTTCCTAACCAATGACACACCACAAAGCTCCTAATTCCCTACCTGGTCATCTCTCGCCTCGACTACTGCAACTCCCTCCTCATTGGATGACCTTCACAGAGGAGACCCCCCCTCCAGTCCATCATGAATACGGCTGCCAGGCTCATCCACCTTACCAACCGTCCAGTGTCTGCTACCCCTCTCTGCCAATCCCTCCACTGGCCTCCATTCAGTGTCCTTCACCCCTCTCTGCCAATCCCTCCACTGGTCTCCATTCAGTGTCCTCCACCCCTCTCTGCCAATCCTTCCACTGGCCTCCACTTAGTGTCATCCACCCCTCTCTGCCAATCCCTCCACTGGCCTCCATTCAGTGTCTGCTACCCCTCTCTGCCAATCACTCCACTGGTCTCCATTCAGTGTCCTCCACCCCTCTCTGCCAATCCCTCCACTGGCCTCCATTCAGTGTCTGCTACCCCTCTCTGCCAATCCCTCCACTGGCCTCCATTCAGTGTCCTTCACCCCTCTCTGCCAATCCCTCCACACTGTCCTCCATTCAGTGTCCTCCACCCCTCTCTGCCCATCCCTCCACTGGCCTCCATTCAGTGTCCTTCACCCCTCTCTTCCAATCCCTGCACTGGCCTCCATTCAATTTCTGCTACCCCTCTCTGCCAATCCCTCCACTGGCCTCCACTCAGTGTCCTCCACCCCTCTCTGCCATTCCCTCCACTGGCCTCCACTCAGTGTCCTCCATCCTTCTCTGCCAATCCCTCCACTGGCCTCCACTCAGTGTCCTCCACCCCTCTCTGCCAATCCCTCCACTGACCTCCATTCAGTGTCCTCCACCCCTCTCTGCCAATCCCTCCACTGGCCTCCACTCAGTGTCCTCCACCCCTCTCTGCCAATCCCTCCACTGGCCTCCACTCAGTGTCCTCCACCCCTCTCTGCCAATCCCTCCACTGGCCTCCACTCAGTGTCTTCCACCCCTCTCTGCCAATCCCTCCACTGGCCTCCACTCAGTGTTCTCCACCCCTCTCTGCCAATCCCTCCACTGGCTTCCACTCGCTCAACGAATAAAATTCAAAATACTAACAACTTACAAAGCCATCCATAACTCTGCCCCCGGCTACATCACCAACCTGGTCTCAAAATATCAACCAAACCGCTCTCTTCGATCCTCCCGAGACCTTCTGCTCTCTAGTTCCCATGTCACCTCCTCCCATGCTCACCTCCAGGACTTCTCCCGAATGTCTCCCATCCTACGGAACTCTCTACCCCAATCTGTCCAGCTGTCTCCTAATCTATCCACCTTTAAACGATCCCTGAAAACCTTTCTCTTTAAAGAAGCCTATCCTGCTTCTATCTAATAGAAGCTGGACACCCCCCCCCCCCCACTAAGCTAATACACATAGACACATACATCCCATAATAGTTTGCTCCCAAGCAAGACAAACAATAGAACAATGGGATTCTATTCCTTCTTTTTAAGAATGTTCCAAACAGTTGTTTTGGCCACGCCTAATGTTTTTGCTATCTCTCTGATGATGGTTTGTTTTGTTTTTTCAGCCTAATGATGGCTTCACTGATAGTGACAGCTCTTTGGATCTCATCTTGAGAGTTGACAGCAACAGATTCCAAATGCAAATAGCACACTTGAAATGAATTCTGGACCTTTTATCTGCTCATTGTAATTGGGATAATGAGGGAATAACACACACCTGGCCATGGAACAGCTGAGAAGCCAATTGTCCCATTACTTTTGGTCCCTTAACAAGTGGGAGGCACATATGCAAACTGTTGTAATTCCTACACCGTTCACCTGATTTGGATGTAAATACCCTCAAATTAAAGCTGACAGTCTGCAGTTAAAGCACATCTTTTTCGTTTCATTTCAAATCTATTGTGGTGGTGTATAGAGCCAAAAATGTTAGAATTGTGTTGATGTCCCAATATTTATGGACCTGACTGTACACAATATTAGGACAGATCACCCTGTACCCATAACAGGCACAGGGTGACTTACACATAAGAGGGATATGGGGAGCTGGGAGACAGGGGTCTCCCCACTTCTCCAAAGTGAGCTGGGTTCCATGGACCCCCCCACCCATAGTGACTCCCATCAATGGGCCCCCCACCCAAAGTGACACCAATCTTGAAATAATCCAGACGGTAGACTAATTTATTTGAACAGAGATACAAGATATATACACTCAGGGGACAATCCCCCCCCCCCTGCATAATGACACAGGGCGGGGCAATCTATATTTAGTAACAAAAGACTCACAGGTATTCAAACTTCATACCAGCAGACAGTCCCATCAGGAGGGAGGGCTGCTGGACATCCCCCCCCCCCCACTAAGCTAATACACATAGACACATACATCCCATAATAGTTTGCTCCCAAGCAAGACAAATAATAGAACAATGGGATGCAGCCACACAACACCAAACAATTCACAACTCCCCACCCCACCTATCTCCTAGACATGTCTACACAATATTAGGACAGATCACCCTGTACCCCTAACAGGCACAGGGTGACTTACACATAAGAGGGATGTGGGGAGCCGAGACAGGGGTCCAATGTGAGCTGGGTTCCATGGGCCCCCCACCCAAAGTGACTCCCATCCCATATGGGGTGAACTTTATGACTTGGTCGGCTGATTTTCGAAATCCTTGATGGAACCATCGGATTACCGCGCAAACGTTTTTGATATTCGGACGAAAAAATTGTTTGGAATTCCAACCGTGTATGGCCTGCATTACACTATGGGATTCCCCTTCCTGTTCTTTTTGTGATATATTTACTCCGAGACTGCGGGGACCTGGAGATAATCAACTTCATTGGGAATGCCCCAAAAGCGCTGTAGACCATTCTCAAAATTTATTTATTTCAGGTATTTATATAGCGCCATCAATTTACGCAGCGCTTTACATATATATTGTACATTCACATCAGTCCCCGCCCCCGAGGAGCGTACAATCTAGGGTCCCTAACTCGCATTCATACATACACATATTAGGGCAATTTAGACAGGAGCCAATTAACCTATCAGCATGTCTTTGGAGTGTGGGAGGAAACCGGAGTACCCGGAGGAAACCCATGCAGGCACAGGGAGAACATGCAAACTCCAGGCAGGTGGTGCCATGGCTGGGATTTGAACCAACGACCCTAGTACTGCCAGGCGGAAGTGCTAACCATTTAGCCACTGTGCTGCCCCAATATGTCACGATCGCGGCGTCAGACCCCAGCCCTTCTCACCAAACTCCTGACCAAAGGACTAGCCGATCTAAAACCGCGATGTCACGTGCGTAACATTGCCACACCCAGCTGCACCCTGCACAACGATTTTCCGGCTAATTGGACCACAATCGATGTACCGGCAGCCTGAGCGATTGTCACTGGGTCAGGTTAATTACGCAATTAACCCTTCACACTGCCACCACCTCCTTTTTGTACAGAGAAAGAGGAAACTCGGCGCTATCCTCAATAACACTATAATGGTTGAAGTAATCGTCTGTATAACACGGTTATACAGAGGGTTAAACAAACACAGTAGCGTTCTTTTTAGAGGCAGGAATGGTCATCTGCTTAGGGTAAGTTTTGGTCCATTTGGGGCACCTTTGAGCACCGTGGAGCACTTTAAATTAGCTGAACAAGTGAAGCGCCAAAATCAAGTTGGAACACAAGCACGGGCGCTGGTTTCACCATTTGACACTTTAACCAGTTGCCAACCGCAGATAACCGAATGACGGCTGCACCGCGGCCGGCCAGTTCTGGGAGGGCGTCATATGACGTCCTCCCAGAACATGCTCTCCTGCGCGCCCCCCCCGGCAATCTCCATGATCACTGTGTTCTATGGACACAGCTGATCACGTGATGTGGTAAAAGGCCAATCACAGCAGCCTTTTACCACATGATCAGCCGTGTCCAATGACATGCTGATCATTGGGAAATTGACGGTTCTCAGCTGCACTTTCCTCAGGCTGTCAGAGTCAGTCAGTGCCCAACAGTGCCGCCAGTCAGTGCCGACTATCAGTAACCATCATCACTGCCAGCTCTTCAGTGCCGACTATCAGTACCCATCAGGGGCGGACTGACCATTTGGAAACTCGAGTACTGCCCGAGGGACGGGGTTAGTAGGGGGCCCCATGAGATGCCCCTGGTACCTCTTTCATAGGCTTTTTTGAGTTTGGGTAAGGACACAGGGGCCTCATGATCCCCTATTGCCTGGGAGCCCCATGAGTTGTCAGTCCGCCCCTGGTACCCATCATCAGTGCCAGCTCATCAGTGCCGCCTATCAGTGCCACCTCATTAGTGCTGCCTATCAGTGCCCATCAGTGTCGCCTATCAGTGACGCTTATCAGTGCACATCAGTAAAGGAGAAAAATGACCTGTTTGAAAAATTTTATAAAAGAAACAAAGAAGCTTTTTTTTTGTTTTTCAAATTTTTTTGCTCTTTTTTTGTTTATAGCACAAAAAATAAAAACACACAGCGGGGAGTTAATACCACCAAAAGAAAGCTCTACTTGTGAGACAAAAATGATAAAAATTTCACATGGGTACAGTGTTGCATGACCGCACAATTGTCATTCAAAGTGCGACAGCGCTGAAAGCTGAAAATTGGCCTGGGCAGGAAGGGGGTAGAAGTGCCCTGTAGGCAGGAAGGGGGTAGAGGTGCCCTGTAGGCAGGAAGGGGGTAGAAGTGTTCTGTAGGCAGGAAGGGGGTAGAAGTGCCCGGTAGGCAGGAAGGGGGTAGAAGTGTCCGGTAGGCAGGAAGGGGGTAGAAGTGTCCTGTAGGCAGGAAGGGGGTAGAAGTGCCCGGTAGGCAGGAAGGGGGTAGAAGTGCCCGGTAGGCAGGAAGGGGGTAGAAGTGCCCTGTAGGCAGGAAGGGGGTAGAAGTGCTCGGTAGGCAGGAAGGGGGTAGAAGTGCCCTGTAGGCAGGAAGGGGGTAGAAGTGTCCTGTAGGCAGGAAGGGAGTAGAAGTGCCCGGTGGGCAGGAAGGGGGTAGAAGTGCCCGGTGGGCAGGAAGGGGGTAGAAGTGTCCTGTAGGCAGGAAGGGGGTAGAAGTGCCCGGTGGGCAGGAAGGGGGTAGAAGTGCCCTGTGGGCAGGAAGGGGGTAGAAGTGCCCGGTAGGCAGGAAGGCGGTAGAAGTGCCCTGTAGGCAGGAAGGGGGTAGAAGTGCCCTGTAGGCAGGAAGGGGGTAGAAGTGCCCGGTGGGCAGGAAGGGGGTAGAAGTGTCCTGTAGGCAGGAAGGGGGTAGAAGTGTCCTGTAGGCAGGAAGGGGGTAGAAGTGCCCTGTAGGCAGGAAGGGGGTAGAAGTGCCCTGTAGGCAGGAAGGGGGTAGAAGTGCCCGGTAGGCAGGAAGGGGGTAGAAGTGCCCTGTAGGCAGGAAGGGGGTAGAAGTGCCCGGTAGGCGAGGGGTTAATTAATGGCAATCATGCCGTGAACTGCTGTGATGGTGTGAAGTTTGATTTATAGATGTTATGAATTTCTCTGACAATACATAGAGGGTATGCACATATGATATGTATGATCTAGATGCGTGGGGCCACACACACACATATACTGTATATATATATTTCTTATTATGGTGGCATTGCACATTTTCGGGACTGCTGCATTCGCTTT